TACACTACACTACAGTACAGTACAGTACACTACACTACACTACAGTACAGTACAGTACAAAAGACTTGATTTGATTTTTCAGTCAGATTTAAAGAAATCCAAAGTGGACGTTGTTGTTGTTGTTGTTGTTGTTGTTGTTGTTTTCTCCCAACTGTTGTCATTCAGCAGGTGATGCTGAGCAGCAGCAGACTGTAAACAAGTGTTGTTACAGACCACAGCTGATGGAAACTACTCCATTAAAATAAACTGAAACACTAAAACTAAGGATATTCTGTCTATAATTACAGTTAGTTTTAGTTAGTTTTGTAAAAAGATTATACAGTTTGTTAGTTATCGTTTTTTCATTTTATTACAGTTTTTGTTGTTTAGTCAGTTTTAGTGAACTATAAAAACCCTGGTGTGTATAGTGAACACGTGTGGACCTGCTCCTGCAGCTTCCTCAGCAGCGTCCTGTTGGCCGTCAGGATCTTCTCAGACGCCAGCAGCTGCTCTCTCAGTTTGGCCACCTTGGCTTCAGTGGCCTTCAGAGACTCCGCCTTCTTCAGCTCCTGCTGCAGCAGGTGTCTGAGGAGGGTCTCGTCCTTCTGCAGCAGCTCTCTGAGGACACAAGAGACAGAAAGCTCAGGTGTGGGGTCTGCTGGAAGCCGACACAGGTGTGCAGCTGGACTCACCTGTGCTTGCAGAGTCTGTGGTCCGCCTCACTCAGCCTGAGCTCTGCAGCCTGTTTAGAGGACGGATCCAGAAGCGGTTCTGGTGCGGCTGCAGAGCTGTGGTCCTTCAGCATCCTCTGCTTCTCCCTGCTGCAGCATCAGAACGTTTCAAACACATCACACCTCGAACAGCTTCAGTCTGACGGGCTCTGGTCCTACCTGGAGATCTCCTCCTTCAGCAGGCGGTACTCGGCCTTCTTGGACTCAGGAAGAGCTTCTGGAGTTCTGACCGGGTTGTTCTCCTTCTCGGAAACGGACGCCACTTTCGGCTTCGCTGCCTGCCAAACATCAGAGGCGTCAGCTGTCAGACAGCAGGAACAGGAAGTTCTGAATCCAGGCGCGGCTCACCTCCACCGTCCGCCGGGCCTCTTTGATCATGAACTCCAGACCCCCGAAGACCGTCTGAGACGAGCTGCAGGCGTCCAGGTCCGAGTCGCTGTCGTCTGAGTCTCTGAGAGAAACAACCACCGCCTTGTGCCGAGGCAGCTGTGGAGACAAGACCCAGGATCAGGGCCTGGACCAGACCCTGGACCTGTCTGTGTGAGACCTGCTGGAGCTTACCACCAGTGGACCTCGGGCAGCCTGATGGGTTCTGCTGAACCTGCTGCTCCGGCTCTGAGGGACCATGTTCAGGCTGACCGTGCTCAGGTTGCCTCTGGGCGGGGGCTGGACTTCTGCAGGAGGGGGACATGTTGGAGACGGGGGACCACTGGAGCTCTTCTGCAGAGAGGACATGATGCATCATCATCATCATCCTCACCTGTTTGAGCGTCTCTCAGGAGAAAACCCACAGAGGGCTTTTATTCTGAAGGCAGAGCTGAAGGGTTTCCTGTGGAACCAGAACCAGAACCAGAACCAGAACCAGACTCACCTCAGAGGCCGCCACCCTCTTGTTGGCCATCGACATGAGACACGTCTCCCTGAGCAGCATCTCCTCCTCCTCCTCTTCATCAGCAAACGGGGGCTTCGGGGGGGGCTCCAGCTCATCTGGTGGAGGAGGAAGAGGAGGGGGCGGGGGGGGACCACCGGACACCACGGTGGGGGGGAGGAAGGGCTGCGAGAAATCCTGAGGGAGAGGAGGCGGGGTTAGTGTGTGTTTGTGAGTGTTTGTGTGTGTTTGTGTTAAGAGTGTGAGAGTGTGTGTGTGTGTTTGTGAGTGTGTGTGTGTGTCTGTCTGTGTGTGTGTGTGTGTGTTAGAGTGTGTGAGTGTTTGTGTGTGTTTGTGTGTTAGAGTGTGAGAGTGTGTGTTTGTGTCTGTGTGTGCGTACCACTCCGTACGGGCCCAGCAGGGGGAAACATCCCATCTCATCTGTTGACTGGTTCTGCCTCGGTGATGGTGCTGACAGAAACAGGAAGACTGAGCTTCATCATCATCATCATCATCAGACAGGAAACAGGAAGTAGGAGCCAGCTCAGGTGCATCCTGCTCACCTGGCGAGCCGGTCTCGCTGTCCGTATCCATGGCGACCTCATCGTAGTTGTCGTACTGGTAGAGGTTCCCCGAGGCGTCCAGACCCGGTTTGCCCGCAGACTTCCTGTGGTCCTGGTCCCTGGACTGGACAGACGCAGCGGGTTGGTTGCTGGTTGTGGCGGCGGGGGACTCACCTGCTCAGGTGTGGGCGGAGCTCACCCTGCTGCGCGTCCTCCTCCCGCCCACCAGCTTCATGAAGCGGTTGTACTGCTCGTCCTGATTGGACAGGTCGCGGATGCGGCGGATCTCGTCCTCGCGTTTGCGGCGCTCGTCCTCCTCCTGCTTCCTGAGCTGCTGCACCTTCCAGGTGCGCAGCCGCTGCTTCCTGAATGCCTGCTTCGCCGCCGAGCCTGGGGGGGCGGAGAGCGTGATGTCACACGACCGAAATGACAACATACAAGTCCACTTGTACAGATTGTCCATGAGTTATAAGGATTTTACGTCATTTTGCAGGGATACGGACGTACAGTGCAATCTTACAGAAAAGTTTTAAAGTCCTACGGATTTTTTCAAAACCTTATTTTCAAATTTATCTAACGTCAGAGCCTGTAGGATGATTTAAAAAACAATAAATAACATTAAACAGCCATCTTCCAACCTGTTCTGCCACTAGAATAAAGTTTTGACCTTTTTCCGCTCTCCTTTCCTCCGGCTTCACAGCAACATTTGACATTTGAACTGTACAAAGCTCAATGTGCAACACCTAAATTTTTATATTACTCATTTTAATTACTAAACTTTTAACATAAAACATCACATTTGGTTTTCCAATCCATAAAAATGGATTACTTTAAATAATTTAATAATTATTTTAATAATTACTTGAATTGAGATTTTTCTGTGACGGTTAAAATGATTCAGTAACAGAGTGTTTTTAATTGATGCCTCCTCAGACCTCACACACATAAACACAAACAAGTGGAGCTTAAAATGCAGGAATTAAACAGAACTGGTGTCATTTTACTATGATTACAGCAGGGTCGTCAGCAGGTGTAGATTACGCCTTCACAATATTAAATTATTGTATTTATCATAAACTGAAGTAACGACTGCAGAAGATGAGAATATTTTAATCTGATCACTGGATTAATCAACAGAATAATCAATAGATTAACAGATTACTAAACTAATCGTTAGCTGCAGCCCTAGTGGTGACCTGCCGCTCAGATTCTGGTTCTGGTTCTGGTCACGTCTCACCTGCACTGGTCAGGTTTTTGGAGCTGCGAAGCTTCGCTGGTGTTCGGGCCCGGTCAGGCAGGACTCTGGGACCAGGTTTAGGACTCTGTTTGGGTTTTTCCCTCTCAGTTATTCTGTTCCGGTCCCGGTCTGCAGGTTTGGACCTGGTCCTGCTCCGGTCCGCAGCAGCAACAGCAGCGGCGGCGGCGGCGGCGGCAGCGGAGGAGGCGGACCTGGTGGTGACCCTCTGCCTGTCGATGGGAGCAGCTCCAGAACCGGAGGTTCTGTCCTGCAAGGTTTTAACGATCCGGTCTTTGCTCCTCTTCATCACCTGCTGCTCCTTCTGCTGCCACTTCTTACTGGCTGACTGCAGCGCCAGGAGGCGGAGCTGCAGCTCAGACAGCTCCTCCTCCTCCATCTTCTCCACAGGCTGAGGAGACACACAGGTTAACGTCACAAAGGTTCTTTCAAAATAAAAGTTCTGTGAGCCGGGACTCGGATCGGTTTAAGGATCTTATGACAAATGATGCTGGAAACCTAACGAGCATCATCTCATGAGTGAAAGTTTTAAAGCAGAGATTCTTAACCCATGGAGCGCCACCTTGAGGGCCTCAGAAGAACAACAGTTTTTAACTTTGGGCCGCAGAGGGCCGTGGGACCACAATGATTTTAAATAAGGTGTAATACACTTTGTCACCACTAGTAGCAGTAGTGCACCACTCAGATGTTTAACAACTTTTTAATATGTAGAAGAAGAACCTTAGAAACCTGCTGAGAATGGAAACTTATTTTAAATTAAAAGTAGAAACAAAAACAAAAGTAACTCATCAAAAAACACCAAAGTTTGTCACTAATATGAAGAGCAGCTTCTGTTTTTACCATGTAATATTTTAAA